GCCAGCAAACCTTTTTCGATGAACATGAGAGCTCCGTGAATGCTTCAAAACTTCAGAAAACTACTGGAATAACTTCTTCAGCCTGTTCAAAGACTGGGCTGCTCTTTTGTTATTTGGCTCAAGAACAAGTGCATATCGAAAATCTGCAGAAAAGAAAGATAATAAAATAACGGTTGTGCAAAATGGAATAAATAATACTACAGAATTTAGATTAGGTGACTTCACTAGAGTCTGAAAAGACATAAATCACACTACATTGTACTGCCTTAGACCTAATGGATAAAGAAAACAAGATAATTTACCCAAATGAAGAAAAAAAAAAAATTACAAACCAATCACATCACATGCACAGAAATTGTCCACGTATACTCACGATATTATAAGTTTCGGACTAGCCATAAATAAAATATCTAGTAAACAAGCACGGAGGTGAACTCACCTTCCACTGCTTCTTTGTAGTAACCCAACATTTCCCGAGCTGTTCCCCTTCTCAAGTAGGCCTTTACATTCTGCACGCACAGTGTAAAGGTGAGGCACATCTCATGTACAAAATCCAACATAATATAAAATAAATAGATAAATAAATAAATAAACTCCTATCTAGCAATTAATGAGAGAGAATTGCTTGGGAGAAGGGTACAAGCTGAGGCAACCTTCATTTAACAATGGTTTCACTTTCAGTCACCCATAAGATATCATTCCATATGCTACATGGTAATATCAACATATTTCTTAAAGTAGAAAACACAGTAACAATTCAATGAGAGAGGATACAGAAAACGCATGCATTGCCAAGAAAAACGCATACAGATTGCAAAGGGGGTGATTAAAGACATGTGCCCCAAGGTTTTTTGGTCTTAATAGAAAGAACCTATGGACAACTTATGTCCAATACCCAACTATGAACATATTCTGGTGGTGGTTAATGTTGCGGGTGGATGTAATTTCGTAAAGCTTGCATGTACTAGTTTTGTTAGGGAAGGATAAGTTTATGCAATCAACTTTGGGATAGAAAGTACCAGTAACAAAGTAAACCAATAACAATAGTATATGAGGAAGGGAAAAATCAAAACTAACAGAGTTCTGTCAAAAGAGAAGCAGAGATAAAAGTGATAACACCCCACCTACTGAATCTGGGGGCAAATGAATGGAAGATAAACCATACACAGCATGGAAACTACTAATACTTCATAGGAATTGAGATACAGAAGCCACCGGTGTTATTAATGGAGGATGGCGGTACATGGCGTTTTGCCAAAATTCCGCCATTGGCGGCCGCCGTGGCGGTCTATGGCGCCGCCATGACCGCCATCATTCACAAATTTTGTCGGCGGATTGTCAAAAATCCGCCATGGCCGCCATTTGATAACACTGGAAGCCACAAACAAATTTCTATCAGAAGGATAAAGGAAAGATAATTATTCTACTTCTTGAATTGGTAGGCAGAAGAATGAGTTGGAGAGATGACCATGCACAGAATGTAATTCTTTAATGTATATTATTTCAAGAATGAGAAATTAGTAATGCTAATTCAGAGGCAGATAAGCCCAAAGCAATGGTGACAAGAGGCATATTCAATGTCTACAAACTGAAGGACAGATAGGTAACCTTCTTATCGAGATCAACAGCTTGGGTACAATCTGCTTCAGCCTGAATGAAACTGGTAAGGAAAAACTAATAAGGAACACACATAAAAATGTCTATATGGTGCAACAAAATAGAAAGGGTTATAAGTTGAACTACCTTCCAATTTCCAAATAAGCTGCAGCTCTGTTACTGTAAT